AAATAATAATTCTTAAGTAGAATAAAATAAGGTAAAATAATTCAACCAAATGCATCATCTTCAAACGTATGAACAAAATTGTCAAACTCATCTTTACTTATTCAAAAAAATTAAATATTAACACTACTAAATTATATTTCAATTTTATGTTTATACGTTGAAAAAAATTTGTAATAATATTAATTATATTTTGCTCATTATACAAAAAGATTTTAAAACAATGAGAATAAATAATATATAAATCAAATACACTAAAATTTAAAGTACAAATATTATTTTGTAAATTCAAATTATTGACATTAACAATTTATATTACATTTACATTATATATATATATATATAATTGAGTCTTGATAAATTTGCTTCGAAACATCCCAAATAGAAGTTATTCGAGGGAGAAAAAAAGAAGAAGCAAAAAAAAAAAAGAGGAAAAAGAAGAAGAAGGTGAAGAAGAAAAAAAAAACAAGAACCTTGTAATAAGGGAAGCAAGCAAAGGATCCTAGGGCAAACAGAACGGTGGCTATTCTTTACTGGCTTCTGGTTGTGCTTATCCTCGTGATATAGCGATCCCTTTTTCTCCGACCGTAAGGAAGGAATTTTTATCGTGATATAATGGCCATGGGCACGGCAGCCCTTTTACAAGCTCGAAAAGGAAAGCAAGGCAAGGCAAGACAAGTCAAGGCAAAGCAAAGCAAAGCAAGAGAATAGGTAAAGCAAGCAAGGAAGTATGAGGGAGGTATACCCAACAAGTAAACTGTGACGATGTTCTGTGTTCTTATGCCTTGATATTAATAATTATACTTGTAATAGTAATAGTGAAGAAGAAGAAGATAATGTGTGCATTAATAATAATAATTATGGCAATGGTAATAGTAGTAATAGTAAAAACATTAAAGTACGATGTTGAAAAATATAAATCATTATAAAATTTATTGATATTTAATAATAATTAATAATAAGCAGTGCCAGTAATCGTAATAATAAAATAAAAGGGTGGTATGTTTATATTATTAATAATAATTATAATAGTAGCAACACAATTGCACAGTATTAGTAATGATAGAATTATAAGAAGAAGGTTCATGTATTAGTAATAAAAGTTGTAATAGTAGAAGTAGTAAGAAGAAGAAGAAGAAAAAGAAGAAGAAGAAGAAGAAGAAAAAGAAGAAGAAGAAGAAGAAGATGGTGTTGGTGTAAGGGGTGTAGGGTGTAGGGTGTAGAGTACAGGAAAAGGGATCTATCTCTCCCGGATAGTCCGGATAGTAGGTAGAGGTGCTCTTTCTCTCTGTATCGCAAGGGATGAGCAGGACAGCACGGCAACAGAGATACGGCAAAACACAAGATACTGAGAACAGCAGGAGAAGGTTAGAGATGAGGGAAAGAAAGAGAAAGAGAGAGAGTGAGAGAAGAAGAGAAGGAGAAGGAAGAAGAGATGGAGGAGGAGGAAGAGGTGGTGAGAGAGAGTACTGGCGAGGTAGCGACGTCACCACGGAAATCAAGAGTAATGCCAACACGAAACTGCACTACCCCTCGCGCGCACCCTTACCGACATCCCTCTTTCTCTCTCTCTCACTCTCTCCTTTTCTATCTCTTTCTATCTCTCAGTAGCTATCTATCTAGCCATCTCTCTCTATCTTTCATGCATCCCCTTTATCTCTATCTCTCTTCTTCTTCAACTTCACTCTTCTCTTTCACTCTAACATTCTCTCCCTCTCTCTCTCTTTGTTACATTCTCTCTCCTACCCGTTCCTGTCTTTCCTTTTGCCCTTCCACCTCCTTCCCCCGTCTCACCTTCCGATCTCACCTACCCCCAGGGAATAACTCCCTTGCCTCCCGTGTTATATAGACCGGTACCGTTGGTCCGCAGGAAGCACAGCATGAGAAAAGAGAGAGAGAGAGAGAGAGAGAGAGAGAGAGATAGAAATAGAATGAGTGAGTGAGTGAGTACACGTATCTACTATAGGGTTCCTGTCTGATACGAGGGTGAACCTCAACGATTCTCTCATGCTTTCGCTTTTTTCCACCTCAAACTCTCCCTCTACCTGACCCCCACACCTATAACCACCCAACTCCACCCACCCTTCTCTCGATCACGCTCGACTGACTACACCTCAATTCAACCTGAACTCTTCTTTCGGCTGATTTCTTTTTCTTCTTCTTCTTATTCTTCTTCTTTCTTTTTTTTCTACGTGAAAGCTTTTAGATTTTCCTTTTTTTTCTTCATCCATGGATTTCTTTTTCATCATACTGTGCATGATTTTTACGTTTAATATATTTGGAAGATTTTTTTTTATTAGTAATACAAGCTTTGAATTTGGTTGGATTTTTTGATAGAAAATTGTGAATATGTTTAAGGTTTCAGTTTGGAAAATATTATTTGTAAATGGTGCATGTGAACATTTGCAATTCTCGAGAAAAGAATCTTCTTCCTTTTCCTCTTCCTTCTCTTCCTCTATCTTCTTCTTCTCCTCCTTCTACGAGATTTCAATTTCTAATTAAAGAAAGAGAGCACCACGGGTTAAGTAGAAAGCGAAATACCCCCAAGTACCTTTGTAATTCGATTACTCGCCACGTTTCTTTTCCTTTTCTTTCTTTCTTTTATTATTATTTTTTTTTTTTCATTTTATTATTTCTTTTATTCGCCATTTTCTCACCCCCGCCCAGGAAAATCCCCACCAGTTTCTTCTAGTTTCACACTAATTGAAGATAATTGGCCGATTAATTTGATTAATCGTTTTAATCTGGATAAAAGTTTAGAAAATATCGAAATTTCTTTTACTTTGTTGACTTTTTCTTTTTTTTTTTCTTATTTCGTTCAAATAAACATTGATTAGGTTAATACTGAAACGTTAGATTAAAGAAATAGAAGTCTCTCGATTTGGTCGTAAAGGATAAATGAAAGAGTAAAAGAGAGAAAGAGAAGGAGAAAAGTGGACCGGTTTTTTTTCTTTCCCCTCAAATCCTTCGTTTGGAAAATGTGCCCATTCGTATGATCGGCCTATATTCTTGTAGACCCTTGCAGTAGGATCTTCGAAAGAAGGAGAGGAGGTCCTTTAATATACACTACATCTTCGTACGCGAGCCTAGGGATTTCCTCTTTTGGCCTTCCATCTTTACGTAAGATACAAGACAATTTATTTTTGTTTTTTTTTTGTTTAAATCCATCACATTTTGTCTATACACAGATCACGCAATGCTATTATTATACATTTTCTTAAATCACTATAACAAATTATGATTTTATTCAAAGAAAACATAAATGATTATTCATATAAAATGATATTTGTTAAATGTTAACATTTTATTTTTTTATTTAGAATTTATATATTTTATTTGAGTATGCTATGCATCGAATATATAAATTATTCTATTATATATTATTAATTATCAAAAATAAATTATAGAAATATTTTCTAAATAAAAAATTTTATTTCTTACACGATATCAATTGTACTTTTTTTTTTATATTCATCGTAAATAATTTACTATTTAAATATAAATATGTAGTAAATTATTCGTAGTATTTGTAGTATTATATATATATATTTTTTAAATATCCATTATTTAAATAAGTTTTAGTATTTAAATATAAATATATAGTAAATAATTTTTAGTAGTTATAGTATTATATATTTTTTTAAATATCTATTGTAAATAAGTTTTAGTATTTAAATACAAATATACTGTAAATAATTTATAATATTTGTAGTATTATATATTTTTTTAAATATCCATTGTAAATAATTTGTAGTACATTGTATGTACTCGATAGGACGCTTACAATAAAAAAACAAATAATAATAATACTATTAAATATACGCTAAAACAAACATTTAATTGAAATAACATTTTAAAAGAGAAAAAAAACATTTGATTTTCTATAAACGATCAATAAAATAACTTTTGCAAATATTTTAATAAATATTTTCTCATCACGAAATATTTCTCGTACGAGAGAGAGAATATGCGAATTAATTTTACAACGAACATTTTCCAAATACTTTTCATTCGTAACGTTACGTAATTGTTAATATTCGAAAAGCATTTAAAATACATCGAAAACGATCTGTCTTTTAACCGTAAAACAAGTTGTACGTTATGGTGGTCGAAACGAATTCGCCCTTGGGACTCAATCGGGAACACATGCAGAGACCATACTAACTGATCTTTCTCTCTCTCTCACTCTCTCACTCTCTCTCTCGCTCTCTCTCTCTCTCTCTATTTCTCTCTCGTCTATTTGATATTGTAGCAGATTAAATTAACTCCGGTAAATTAATTGGTAGTTAGGATGTTTAGCGTTAAGTGAGAGTGCACGGTTTCTCCTCCTGTTATCTCTCTTTCTCTCTCTTCTCTTTCGTGAAAGTAACTCTTTTCATTTCTATCTCCTTTACTTTCACCTCTTTTTTCTTTTCACTTTGTTTTATTTTTTCATTTTCAAATATATTTTTTTTTCTTTCTACTTATTTATTTCATCTTACATTCGAGATATTTTCTAAGCTAACTTTACGTTTCAACAATAAAAATAAACGAAAGGTTTCATAATTTAATTAATAATAAGTAATATTATATTATTATAAATAACTAATATAAATTAAACTATAAAGTTTATAGTTTATACTAATAGTATAAACTAATAATTATAGTATTTTACTATACTACAGTATTATAATAGTATAAACTATTATAATAAATAGTAATAGCTTATACTAATAGTTTATACCATATTACTAATAGTAATATAGTTATACTAATAGTATAACTATTAGTTATAGTATAAATAACTAATTTAATAATAAAAAAGAAGATCAAAAGGTTTTGTCATTTAAATTAATTTTTATTTATTATTAATAATCCTTTTTTAAGAAATTACAATAATTCTTTTCTGTACTTTTCTTTTTTTCCAAGAAAATTGTCATAAGAGTTTTAGAATATAAAATACATTATTAATAAAAAAAATATATATATAGAATATAAAATGAATATAATGAAAACTTGTCATAGTCAAGAAATATAATAATAATAATAATAGATATTATAAATAAATCGTTGAAATATAACGAAATATTTGGAAAACCCATATACATATTTCCCATGGATCAAGTTTATATTTTAAATTCTCGTAGAAAATAATTATTTCAAATACTATCTTTTCGATTGTATAGATGTCGTCCTTTTACCAGCCCTTGCTCTTTGAGTACAATTCAATAGGCAAACAAAATTCCCATTGATAAATCCCATAGGTAAACTCCCGTTTTTACCGACCGACTGTAAGAAATGTTTTACAGTCGATAAATATAGTATCCCATTTTCGTCAATCGAGATTTCCTTCCTTGCTCCAATTAGATAAAGTGAATGAAATCTTCGTATGTCGCAAATAAATCCTAGAAATTTGCGACTACATGACGAATCCATAAAAAGTCATGTAAAATGAATGAATTCATTCAATAAAACATTTGTTGTTTTCTATATTATTGTCATGAATTTAAATTCTGCAAATACAAATTATTTTCAGTTAATTCCGCTCTTATCAATGATGCCAACCTTTCCATGGCCTGTAAAAAAACACACACAATTTTTTTTTTTGTTAATTAAACGTAAAAATATTAAATATAATTCAACTGATCATTCAAATATTATCAGACAAAATTAAACTATTTCTTTTTCTAATTTATCAACATATCGTAAGAAAAATAGAATTTTTCTTTAAGATTATCGTCAAATGATAATAGATAAAATTAACATATCTACGACAAATAAGATAGAAAACTTACCAAATCCATTTCTTCGTAAGAAGCTTTTGAAAAAGATGCTCGTATGGCATTACAAGGTGCGGTGGGATCTTTTGTGAAAGATGCACCAGGTGCCATGATAACTCCTTCATTGATACCTCGTTGCATTAACATTTGCCACGTATCTTTGATATCGCGTACTTTAATCCATAAAAAGAATCCACTGCTTGGTACGGCAAAGTCAGCTAATCCTAAAAAAAAATCAGGTTCAAAAAATTAATAAATAATATTTGAATAAAATTCAAATCTTAAATATATATAATAAAAAATATATAAAAAAATATAATAATAATAATAATAATAATAATAATAATAATAATAATAATAATAATAATAATAATAATAATAATATATAATAAAAAATTAATAAATAAATAATTTGAATAAAATATTCAAATATCTTCATTATTCACATAATCTTTGATGAAAGAAATTTTAAAGACAAAATTAAAATATTTAGGTAGTTCACACTGCCCAATTAAAATCTATTATTTAGGCAGTTCATTAAATGAAAAAAAAATGATAATTACCATTCAAATGTTTTCTAGCCAATGTCACTATCACATCTCTGCGTTCCTTGTAAAAATGTTTAATACGTTTCATATGACTCATCAAACCATCGAATCCCCATATCTTGAAAAGTTTGTATAGTATGACCTGAAAGGAACAAATAGAAATAATCAGTATCGTTTTTTATAACTTTTGAAAAATTGTCACGATAACCTTTTGATAACGTTTTCATCCGTGATAATACCCGACACGCGCCAACGTCTCTCTCCACACACAGTATTTAAATATTCGAATATTGATAATTATATGAAGGAAGGCATGCAAAGATTTACGATATGTCATGGGTATGTTTCATCATCGAAAGTATATCAAAAAAAAAAAAAGTGAATAATATTTACATATTAGTTGATCAGACATTTCTTTTTTTATTTTTCTAACAAAAAAATCTCATTCATATCGTATTTTTTTCTTTTAATACTTTCTAATATGAAAATATTAATTCCCCGTCAATTTATTTCGCGTGAAATATTAAATATAAACATAAATCATCATTTTTTGTAATATTTTAATATATACTCACGTTAAGATTACAAAAACTTAATTTACTCTAATTGAAAGAGTAATTAAAATTGCCGACAAAAAAAAATTTTTTTAAATATATTATCTAAATGATATCATTTAAATGTGTTTCGTTTATTAAAAAAAAATAATATTTCGTTGAATTTATACCATGTTAGGATATATTAAGAAGAAAATTACGGATAACTACCAACCTGTGATAAGGAAGGTGCGTGCAGGTGACTACTTTGCAAGTGAAGTTCAATGCTTGCTAAAAGTGGCGCTGGAGCAGTGATAAAACCAATTCTCATGCCACTGCTAATAACTTTAGAAAAGGAATCCACTCTGATAACACGTCCTTCCGTATCAATCGATAAAAATGATGGGGGTATTTCCTGTAATCGATTAAACGTATAAATAAATTTTTATTTTTTTAAAAATCATATTTAAATGATTTTTTTTTTTTTTAAACTTACATCATTGTAACTTAAAAAGCAGTAAGGATCATCGTCAAGAATGAGAAAATCGTATTCGCATGCCAACCTGTAGATTTCTTTTCTTCTCTCAAATGGTATAATTACACCTGTCGGATTAGCACCTGTCGCGTTGACGTACATAATTTTTGGCATTTTTTTACCAGAAATTAGTCTCTCTCGTAAAATTTCTTCCATTATTTCCGGTATTATTCCAAAATCATCCTGAGGGATCGATATAAACTCTGCTTGATGTGGCGTAACCTTTTTAATTATTAAATAACCATTAATAAGATTAAAACACATATGTGTAATATAAATAAAAACATTCATTATCTTCTATAGCATGATAAATAAAAAATATTCATATTTAGACATGCAAAAATATTCAATTTGTTTTGTTCATTTTAATCAAATACTCTTAAAATTTATGGAACGTTTGTTGCAAATAAAAAAATATTTGAATAAAAATTTTTACATTCAGATATATACATATATATTTTCTTTCGTTACATATATCAATTATTAATTTTTATACCATAAAAGAGCCATAAATTTTGATTACAGAGTTAAACTTTGTACTAGATTAGAATATTAGACTAAAATTGATTATTATTAAATATATATATATGAAAATAGTAATATTTTAAAATTCCTATATAGTTTTAACTTATCAAGGGACATGACATAGAGCAAAAAATGAGAGATAAATTGCGTCACGTATGACCGTCGATTAATCTATGTAAAACATGAAAAAAATCCGAATGTGGAGTTGTGTGTTTATGGATAAATTAATTGCCGATAAGAAGATGGAAAATGTAATATTATCATGGCACGCGCACGATCAAAAGAAGCAAGCCAGCATCTGTTGTGCGAGAGACATATGTAGAATATATATGTATATAAAAATATATACATTTATAATACATTTACATTTTTTAATTATACATTTTTTTTTATTTTTTTTTTATTTTTTTTTTAATTTTTTTTATTGTATATATATATATTGTATGTATAGGTCATGCATATGCGTATTTAAGTTCACTTTTTTATTAATCACACGTCACACGTTTGATCCTCATTTTATTTCTCTTTTTTATTTTATTTCAATTTTTCCAAATTATTTATAACGCACACACGCACACATACATATACGCACACATTTTTTTTGTCACTTCATTTTTGCCTCTTGTTTTATAAAACATTTGATTTTACATGACTCTTTTTGAATAGATATTTTTCAATCAATTTCATAATATAAAATTAAACGTATGCGTAAAATGTATATATAAAAAAAAAAAAAGAAAAACATTAAGAGAGTAAAATAAATAAAATGATGATCGATACTAACCACAACTTCAACTCCAGGATAAAAAGGATCATGAACAAGAATAGGATCACCGATACCGATGATAGATTCCAATGTCTTACTTAAACCATCCTGAGCACCAGCGACGATTACTATGTCGCGACTTTCCCATAGGGGTGGTGCGTGCACCCTCCTTTGGAATTCCCTCAGGGTCTAAAATCAATTTAACGTCGAACGTCGTTAGACACGCGTTTTAGCCAATCGTATTATTTCAAAGAAAGAAGAATTTGTGTGTAACGACTCGGTGGATTACATCAGCAACAATCTCGTCTTTTGCTGAGAGAGATGAAGAAGCTTTTAGTTATAGCTCGAAATAATTCCATTCGCTTCCATAAATACAAACTAATTTTTCATCTCTTCATAATTTTTGTTTATTTTTTTATTTGTAAATATGTATATTTATATAATATGTGTTCAGTTTTTGTGTTTGAACAATAGAACGATGCTAATATGTTTTATTTATGGATATCATTTTTTTTGCTATGTAATATTGGATATCTCATATCATTTTTATAATAAAAATTTTAGTATATAATATAATTAAAAAATATTAATTACATTATATACTAAATAATAATATATAATTAATATTTTAATTATAATAATAAATAGTATACTAACAAATATACTAATAAGTTACTAATAAATATGAATATTAAAATATTAAAAAAATTAATATATAAAAATAATATAATTTTTTATATATTATATAATTTAATTCATTTTAATTTCTTAGTTAATTTGGTTAACTGTTTTAACCATTGAGTTATTCAGTTATTCCATATAAATAATTATATTATTTTCTAATATAATATAATAATAATATTGAATAAATTTAAATATTACAAAAATATAAAATTAAAACTAATGAATTTTCTATAAAAATTCTTATTTAAAAAATCCAATGATTAAAAATAATTCAATTGAATTTTCATATAGAAAAATAGAATTGTTCTTCGTCCAGCGTGTGTATGTGTGGATATAGTATTTTTATAATTTAAAGAAATTACCTGTAATAACGGAGGGTAACCTTGAGTTGGTATATATTGAAGAGCCTTGCCCAATTCGCTTTCTTCGAGTGTAAACGACGAACCATCGTAAAGTTTGACGGATATTTCGGTGAATGGGAAAGTCTTTTCATTCGGCATACCCTCGGCAAGTGAAACCAAACTAGTCGGTGCCGAGTATGCTATTTTAGCTGTATACACGCAAAAGACAATTTTTATATATTACTCTCGTTTCAATATGTTTTTTAATAAAAAAAAAAAGAAAGAAAAAAAAAATATTACTAACTTAATTCTCTCGTAACAACGGCTCTTCTTCTTTTCGATAATTCAGTTTTGTACGAGGAATAATCCATCGTTAAACTGGTACTTTCTTCCATAGTGAACGACATTTTTTATTTTATTTGAAATCGATCGATGTAATAATATCAAGAAATATTAAACGAATCAAATTACACGAAGTAATAATTCTCTACAACAAATAAATTCACGTTGTTGTTGTCGTCGTCGTCGTCGTCGTATGTATGAAATTCGTAAGATTTGTCAGAAAATCGTACGATTACAAGAAACTTTTCAATAAGATTTTATAAAAAATCTGAAGAATAAATTTTCTATGATATTTTAATAAAGGACCACTTTTCTCGTGTTCTCGATAACAACCCTTTCCTTATACTAACGTCGAGTCTCGTTTCGTCGGCTTTTATACTTAGCCGATAACATTGGTTGCGTCAGATAATATTAACTTATTTGAACACGAACGTACAATTTAAAAATGTTTGAAAAAAAGTTTCATACGGAAAATACGAATGAACATTCATTTTTTTTTATCCTTATCTCTTTTTGTTACTATATATTATTTTAATATATATATATATATGTCGTTTTGTCAAAGTAAATTTCTAAATTAATTACGTTATTTTCAAAGAAATTTTTAACAAGATTATGATCGTGATTGTACTTAATCAAAACATCGAGTAAAAAAATTTATAAACACGTTAACAACAAAAATATATGAATGAGAGTAAATTTTATTTTTTGTTATTTCATTCGGATGATCAAACATGTTTTTATCTTTTCTTTTTTCAAAATACGATTTTCAATGAAATTATTTTTTATTGAAAAAACTTTGTAAACAACTTATTATCGAGTTTACGATCATTTTTTCGTGCAATTTTTTTTGGAATATCGAAATAACAATGCATAATTCGTTTTAGAATAATTTAGAAAAAAATTACGTTAATGGCAAAGTTCAATATCATTTAACAGACGAAGCTAAACAATGACGTAATCGAGTTCATTAAATTCATTAATTCATACTTAAAATATACATTTAGTCAACCAAATATTGTTGAAGAAAAAGAATTTCGCTTGAAATTGTGACAAACAACTTTTGGGCACACAACTTTTTTTCATTTTTTATACACATACATATATATATAAATATATATATACATACATATTTTTTCTCTTTTTCGTTTATTCCCCTATTTTGTAAAAATCCTAATAACCCCATAAACAAAGGTCAAAAAGCAAGTTAACGCAATAGTGGAACAATATCAATCGTTGAAAATAGATAAGAATGAAAGTATGTGAATGGTAAATTCTAGCCATGTAAGACAAGGATAATGAAGTATTTTTAACAAAGATAAAAGAAGAGACAAAGAGTAATGAAAGAGGAGAAAACTAGATTTTTTTTTATTAATTTACTTTCGAAAGGTTAAGTAGAAAAATTAAAGGTAAAAATGTAATATTTTTTCTTAATTACAGTTTTCAACTTTGTAATATATTATTTATTTAATATTATTTAATCGTCTTTTTAATATTGCAATTTGATTTCCGGTTCCTAATGCAAGCTAATAAAAACAATAATAATAATAATAATAATAATAATAACAACTGCATACAAGTTTAGGTTACAAATTTTATAATATATAGTAGATAAAATTACAATATTATTAATATATAAATATATAATATATAAAAATAACAATATAATTATTACTTTTAGATTTGACTAATAAAATAATAAAAAGGAACTTTTACTCAAAAAAAAAGTAAAATGCATACGCAGATACGTAGACAATGAAAATAAGAATTTATTATTTCCCTAATATTACAATATTATGTATATATATTAAATATATACATAAGATAAAGATATATTTGCATAGATACGACCAAAGATAATCTATATTTCCCTCTTATTTCTTTTTTTTTTATCAAAAGTATGCACGTAAGCACGTAAGCACGTAAGCACGTTAATTTGATACTACTTATAAATTTTTAACATTTTGTATTACATTTTATTTTCTCTCTCTCTTTCTCCCTTCTTTTCAAGGAATTTATTCTTTTCCATAATTTTTGTTGTTGTTATTTATATTTTATGATCTAATGACGCAAACCCAAAACATTCTGATGCAAGAATTGAAACGAATTTTATTTAGAGATCGTTTTAGATTCTTTGAAAAAAAACTTTCCCAATCGTTCACTTTTCTTCCTTTCTCTAGTCTGTTTTTCCCCTTTACAAACATTCCCTCCCTTTTCTCTTTTACTCACTTTCTCATCAAACCTAAACGATGTGTGTATTTTCCGATTGAAATATCTTTTAAAATCCAGTTTCATAAGAGCCTGATGCAATAATTCAAATACGTTTCTTTCGTGAGTACCTCCGAGAAAGAGAGCGAGTGAAAACATCTGTAAAATAAAAAAAAACATAAATAAGAAATACGAATCATATTTCTAATCAGTTTACTTACTGATATATTACTTATATACCAGTTTTATACGTACATTCGTGTATGTAATTACGTTTTATACGTGCTTTTTTTTCTACGTAAATGCACATATACAATTATAATTCGTTTTCATTTTACGTCATTTATTCTCTGTCTCTCTTTCTTTTTCTTTCATTTTTATTTTTTTTTGTTACGTCGTATATAAATAATGTTTTCAAATTACAATACTAACGGATATGTTTGAATCATTGATAAGTAAAATATCGAAATTATATTCTCTATTATTATTTTATAGAGGATGTCTCAAAAATTGATTAATCTAAATGCAAAAATTATAAATATTTTTTTATTGTGAATAATAACAGAATTGAAAATTCATATGTTGAAATATTTAATATTTATCTATTTAATGAAATGAAAAGCATGGTTTAAGAGTCGAATCGACTATTGTTATAAATTTATATTTAATACTTAATATTAAATATTATATTATTTTAAGATTTTAAATATATTTAATACTAAAACAAATAAACCAATAATATAATTCTATTAACAATAACATATTCGTAATTTTTTTAAATGTTTTTTCTTTTTTTTTTTGAACCTATTTAGAAGTATTGTATAGTAGTATCAACCTTATTTTTTGTACATAAAAATAATATGCAATATTAAAATTCAATGTTAAATATTTGATATCTTTATTCTATTATTTTAATAATATTCAATAATTAAATATTAAAATAAAATTAAAAAAAAAGAAGAAACACATACTAACAGACAAATATCGTAATTCCCTTTTAATCAAACAAATAATAATTTCGATAAATCAATTTTTGAGACGTACAGTATACGTAAAATGACAACAAAAACAAAAATAAAAAAGAAAAGAATGTAGAATTCAAGAAGAAAATTAATCGATTAATTTTCTTATCTATTTTCTCGTCATCAGCTACTACCATCGTAGATATTTAAAACAAGCTTTGGTAAAACAATCCTATCATTTTGAACGACTACTACTTTGTTCATTTAGAATAGAATAGTCAAAGATAACAAAATTTTTCTATCCCTCTCTTTCTGTCATTTGACTTTTTTCTTTCTCTTTTTCTCCTACTCCCATCTCTCTTTCTCTTTCTCCTCCCCCTTTCTTTTTTTTCCCCGTACCCCGTTCGTCCACCGATCAACACCGTATCCCGTGTTATCTTCAATCTTTTTTTCTTTTTCTTGTTGTTAAGAACACTCTAAGAAGACGTTAACGATAAACGCCACGAATAATAAATTCAAACAAGATTTCTTCCCGAAGGAATAACAATATTTATGTACATGTGTTAATACACGTATACACTTGTTTGAGTATTTAATATATATATATACGTCGGGGGTTATCACATTCCTCGTTTCTTTCGTTCGTTAACTCTATCATTTCCAGTTTCTATCTCTGTCTTTCTTTCTTCCTTTCTTTCTTTCTTTTTTTCCTTATCTATCTCTTTACGATCGTAAGAAGTCTCAGACAAATTTTTATTTTATCATCTTATTTATTTATTGCTTTATATATATANNNTATATATATATATATATAAATGAATTTTATTCGCTTCCGAAGAATCAGACGTTTAATATTTAATAATAATAACATTCAATCGAATGTTGAATTTCATTCTTTTATCGTTAGAAGAAAAGATAATTTATAAGATTATTAATCGATCGATCGATATAAAATTATATTAATATAGTAATCAAATTCGTAATAAAATAATCGATGAGATTCGAAATGTTATCTATTTTTTTAGGAAAAAATAAACAAAGGTTCTTTTTATACATTTTTTGTAATCAATACGAATTCAAATTAATTTTATTATTACAAAATTCCATTATTTTTATTTATAATATTTAACAAAGTAATTATTATTTATATACAGAACAATATAGTTAATTAATATTAATAGTATATTCCTTTCTTTGCTAAAAGTTAAAAAAAATTGCTTTATTATTTTCCATTTGTATGATATAAAACAAATCAATAAAAATTATTGATTAAACGAACAGATGATTTTAAATTTTATTGCAATTGTATAACACTTAGGTTAGATAAATAATAGTAATCAGAAACATTGACCATGAAGATGATCGGAATTCTTATATCATAAAAGAATATGTTTTCTCTTATTAATCATTCTTTTCGAGAACTACTATTCGAGCACTACTGTTCGATCATTATAATATTATAAGATTTATCTATCGACTATTTATCTCGACTTATTATGATATTAGAATGAAATCGAGTATATGAAAAAAAAAAATCAAAAAATATATAAAACAAAACATAAAATAAATATGATCACGTAATTTTCAGATAACATTGAATATTAGCAATAGCTGTTTACGAATCGTTCGAACTTCTAAATGGACATGGGCATCATCACATAACTGACGCAATTAATCTATGAATGTTGCGTCGATTTTCTATTTGACTTAGTTTCAATGTAATTTCAATCGAATCTAAATATTATTAGTTCGATTGATTACTCCAACTAATAATAATTCTTGTTTACTCTAATCATTTCAAAGCTACTTTCGATATATTTCAATTATTATTAAATCAAATTATATTACGTTAAAAAAAAATAACATATTTCTAATTTCGTCTGTTATAAATATATTTCAAATAAATGAGTACCTTATTAAACTTTCTTTAAGTATAATCGAATCAATTATTATACTCCTTGGTGTACCATTTGGGAAAAAAATATTTGAAAAAAATGATCACACAAGAGAAGAAAAAAAAAAGATTACTATTTCAAAGGTTGGACTTTGATCATCGAAAGAAGTAGTGGAAGAAGAAGAAGAAGAAGAAGAAGAAGAAGAAGTAGAAGTAAGAGGAGAAGGTAAAGGGGGTGGGGAGGAATCATAGGTGAAAAATAGATGCAGA